CATTGATCACTCGTCCAATAGCAAATGTTGAAGGATTCACCGAACGATGTACGAAGCCAACCTTGAAAAAGGTGAAATTTCAGAATTTCTCATTTTGGCTTCTGCTAACCAGTTCTTGAGAGCGATTCACGATTTCGCTCCTAACAGGTGAGAGTTAGCAGACGTACTTTATGCAGTTCCTCTAATGCTTTTAAACACTGCATGCCTGCACTCAATCCACAAGCCAGTGAGAGTTTACCATCTTTGCAAGCCTTGCGAATAAACTGAAAGTGAAAACTTGTTGTTGAGTAGAAAAGAAAGAGGCTGATCGAAAAATTAGAACTGTTAGTTGAAGATGAACGGCATTCGACATGCGTATCAGTCGTCATCCGGTGACTTGATTATTGCGGCAAGGGACGCGACGCGGCTGCGGTGTGTTGCGAGCGCGGCGATCACCTGTTTCCAGCCTATTTTAGCCATTTTCTCCCTAGTTTACGCTGTTTTGGCTGCTTTTCTCACGATTAGTTGTTTCTTGTCTTCACAAGGTAAATTATGATTGAGATTCTTCTGGTTTTTGCGTACAATTAAACAGTTAAGCAGACAATCGAACAAATACTGAAAAAATTAAAAGTATACTCCCAATCTCACCCACTTATGCTTGAGTCTTATCTTAAGCGCATATCTTAATTGACAATGTAACTGTTTCCCCGCGCTCGTTCTGGACCGAATTCAATCTGTGTCATTCACTTATTTTTTCAAGCTATTCGATGTAATTCCCCATCATCGTGCAGAGGCATCTTCAGTTGTTCGCCATACCGTTGTTCCTTTTTATTTATTTATTTTTTTTTGTTTTGGTTGTAGTTGTTGTTTTAACGTCGCCCCCGTTGGCGACTTACATGCCTCAGTCATGTAATAAACTAAAATAGCTGGAAAAAAATCGCAAAAACACTCTATTGTAAAACAAAAGAAAACACTCCTCGTCCTAATACACTTCATATAGACGATAGAACAACTAACCCCAAAAAAATAGAAAATAATCGTGAGAAAAGCAGCCGAAACAGCGTGAACTAGGGGGGAAAATGACTAAAATAGGCTGGAAACAGCTGATCCATAGGTCCGCACGCCGCAGTGCACTTCCGCCCAAATCTTGCAGCTCACCGGTTGTTATCTCCGAGCTTCTGTTCAAACGAACAAGTATAAGCGAGGATGAACCCCCTGTTTCGACGGCGTCTTATCCGACAGGTCACGGTCCCAAACTTCAGCGGTAATAGGAAAATGAAGGATCACCTTGAAATTCCGTCCTGCCAATGTGATTGCGATATAGTTGAAATCAGTAGATACGCCGCGATCGAATACTCTGAAGCGATTCATGTATTTCATTGTGTACTGAGCGGTGTAGCTCATCCTGAGAAACTTCTCAGGAGGAGCTACACCACTCTAGTGCTTCCAGTTGCCTCCAGTTTGGAAGTCGAAACTTATGCGCGAAACTTATCGTTTGATCTGCCTGTCTTTCTTTGTGACTTTTGTCTGAGATTTTGCCTCTGCCTTTGTTCAAGTAAACCGCGTGAGTAGGGAGAAGCTGGAACTACTGCTAATGACTGGTCTTTGTCTGGAAGCCGTTCGGCTCGATGGGGGCCATATGGCACTGAGGGACTTGAACAGCCATCTTGGAAAGTCTTGTGAATAGATGTAACTTAGTTGAGCTTACTTGTGCCACTTGACGGCTTCACAAGAGTTTACAGGTCTCACCAAAGGTAGACCTATCAATCAACATTAACTAGCAAAAGGAACAGGCGAAGGTTCAAATGCCGTCCCCCTCCTAAGCCGAACATCATTTTCGGACCTGTACTAAACATAACCTTTTCACAATGAGCTAGCTTACTTGCAGAAGTGACGACTTTTAACCTTCTCCATATGAAGAAGGATGAACAATTCAAATTTAAGCAGCGGTACAGTGGGTTGTTTTTGCTCCAACTGAAATAGCTCTCGTTATTGACTGTAACATTAACTAGAAAACTTTTTTTACTAGTTCTATAGGTAACTCGTGACTAGATTTTCCCGAGAGTTTCCTGTACATGTTCGCGGGGAATCTACATTCTCCAAACCCCTAGGGGCCTACCTACACAACCCGTGGAGAAAAGGCATATCCTGAACCTGAAAAGGCATATCCTGAATCCCGTGGAGAAAAGGGATATCCTGAACTGCAAATCACGTCGATAAGCTACCAAGAAATCATCTTCCAAGACGAGATGCTGTCCACCGTGGAGCCAGGCTTGAATAAACGAAAAGGCATGGACACCGTGCCTCATCTGGAGGAGCCGACTATTTGCTCACGTATTTATGAGCGTCTATGACATGCTACGAGAATCAGGATTCGGGCTGCATACACCTGCGAAGCCATCCTTTCTGTCTAACCCTGTACGTTACTAAATCAACAGCGAAATTGAAAATTGTGCGGTAGTACCTCTTGGTAATGCGAACTGAATCTCACTTTTGCTCTCGTACGTTTACTCAATACCACCTAAGAGATGAAAGGTGACTTTACAGCGACGCCGAGACACCCTACTCGGCCTCGTCAATGCTGAACACTGATGACCCAACAGCGTCTGTCTAAATCCTATGGATTACTCTACGTGGAGAGCAAGGCTTCCTGCACAAAATACTGCACAACCAATTCATTATTGAAGAATGCATCGAAATCCTGGGAAGTACT